GGGTTTGGGGTGATTTGAGGAGGGTTTGGGGTGATTTGAGGAGGGTTCGGGGTGATTTGAGGGGGGGTTTGGGGCTCCTTAGGGAGAGTCTGGGGGAGCTTTGAAGAGGGTTTGGGTAATTTGAGAAAGGTTTGGGGTGGTTTGAGGAGGGCTGGGGGCTCCTTGAGGAGGATTTGGGGAAACTTGAAGAGGGTTCGGAGTGACTTTAGGAATGTTTGAGGTGATTTGATGCGGGTTTGGAGACACTTGAAGAGGGTTCAGGGCCCCTTGAGGAGGGTTTGAGGCAACTACAACCACCTGAAGGAAGGTTTTAGTGAGGTGGGGACTGGTCTCCTCTACGGTATCTGCAGTGACAAGAGGAAATGTCCTGAAGCTGAGACAGGGCAGGTTCAGATTAGATATTAGAAAAAATCACAGAATATTCTGCACTGGAAGGGACTCTGAAGGATCATCCAGTCCAACCCCTGTCCATGCACAGGGCACCCCAACAATCCCACCCTGTCCCTCAGAGCATTGTCCAAACCCTCCTGGAGCTCTGGCAGCCTTGGGGCTGTGCCCACTGCCCTGGGGAGCCTGGGCAGTGCCCAAGCAACCTCTGGGGGAAGAACCTTTCCCTAAAATCCAACCTAACCCTCCCCTGACACAGCTCCGTGCTGTGGCAAGGCCAAAGATTCAGCGTGGGGTTTTTTTTTTGTGATGATGAAGTTTGGGAGAGGCCAAAATCCCGACTCCCTTCCGTCCAACTGGGCAGAAGATGAATCAGAAGCCCTGAAAACCAAACTGGGGCTCTGAGCTTGGACCGCTGCCTGCTCACAGAGACAGGACATCCATCCTCGGGGTCATCAGCCCAGCACGTGGGGTTGGATCTGGGTATGGTGTGATCCTCCCTCCTCTCCTGTTCACTCCCGCAGGCCTTTGACAGCAAGGGTGGCAATTCCTGGAAGAAATGAGCCCCCTCGTTATGATGGAGCAGAGCCGAGTCCTCCCGGGCTGCTCTCGGCAGAGCTGGTTGGCATTTTGGGATCACCCGCTCCTGGTCACGGGAGCTGTGCTGTGTGAGCCCCGTGCCCTCTTAGGGAACGCCGGGCTGTGGTTGTGCCCGCCATAAATCCAGCTGGCGATGACAGGGACACTCCAAACCCTCCGCGTTATTTTTGCCTCCGTAGCTCAGGCTCCGGGCGATCCCAGGCTGCGGCTCCGCCGTTCCCGTCCCATGAGAGGGCAGCACGAGCCCGCCGGTGTCGGATACGGGTTCTTTAGGTGCTGAAATTGGGCAGCATCAATTCTGAAACTCCTTCAGAAGCGATGTGAGGTGTGTCTGCTTAAACCTTGCCCCGGAGCATCGCCATTCCGGTGACTAATGTGTGAAACCAACCAGGAGTGGTTTTCCCTGCAGATGAAAAGTGTGGTGAACATCGATCCTTCCTCCATTCCTGCAGGAGACTGTGGAAATCCTTCACCCTCATGCTGAGCAGGATCTGCAGCTCTCATCATGCTGCAGCATGGCCAGGACTGATTGCTCTGGAACATCAACTCTTGGGTGTGCAAGACACAAGATTAAAAACACATTGATTTATTTTCTGATTTTTGAGTCCCTAGAGCACGCTCAGGTTGTTTTTCCAAGCTCTTCTCTAAAGCATTGTAAAATCTGGCATGAAATCAGACAGCCAGCAAGACCCACAGCTGACAACTCAGCTGAATAAAGACGTTGGGTTGTCAAGTAGCACTTTCTGTGCCTCGATGTCACTGGCAATGTGGTCTCTTGCAAATTCACCCTCTGAAGTCCCTGCTGAGTCTGCCTTTCAAGTGTCAGCTCCCAGGATGTTTTTTCCCTCCCAGCATGGCCATTTATCCACTGGTTAGCCCCAAGCTCAGCTCTGCAGAGCCCACAAAGCTGTCACTCATCCTCTGTTATTACTTAAAACTGCTCAAAGCCAGTAGTTTGTTCTTTGTCATTTAATGAAGTGAGTCCAGTGCCTTTAATAACCCCTTTCTATTTTTCCTTCCAGCTGAGTAATACAGAACTTGCTTTTCCTGGGATAATCCATAGAGATGGATGTTGGGCAAGGAAAATGCAGAAGGAAGCCAGGATCATGTGAATGTGTTGGACCAGGAGAAAATAAGAAGTTTGTATTCAGTGTTTATCTGAAGTGATTGCTATTTATGCACCTAACCTTGTGACAGAGCAAAAACACTGCCAGAAGAATGTTATTACCTGAAAAGCTGTTTATTCCCCCAGATTCATGAACTGGCAAAGAGGCCCTAAAAGGAAGATGTGGGGATTCCTCTGTCCTATGTGTGGGTGTCAGCAGCCAAACCATCTGTGTCCCCTGTTCCCTCTGCTGGGACAGCAGGGATTTCTGGGTCTAGGAGCTTGGTCCTGAAAACTGCTGAGTAAACTCCAGTTAGTGTTTACTGGAATCCACTGGAGGGGTGATCCCTGAACCCATTTTTTAGCTGGTCACTGGGAGCTTTAGCCTGTTGAAGGGCCCAATCCTGGGAGCTTCAGGGCTCTTTAATCCTCAGTAACTTTGACTGGAGTTAAGGGTCACTCAGTACCTCCTGGGAGGAGGCCCTGAGTGGTCTCAGCTTTTAAAGTTAATGGTTTTGAGCATGAGAATCTGGCCTGGGAGTTTTTAATTTGACTCTGCTGGTTTTAGCTTCAGCTTGAAACTGTCTCAAATAGTTTTTGTGCCCTCAGTACTGAATGTTACTTTGTTAGAGCCTTCCCTGTTGTTGGTCTTACAGGTGCCAAGTCCATCCCTTGTCTTAGGCAACTGTAGCCAATGGGCTGAGATCAGGGATGACTTTGGCCAGGGATAATTGACATAATAAATAAAATTTGAAAAAAATTTATATATAAATCAAAAGTTTGAGTTTGGAATAGCTTCTGAGATTCTGAAAGTAGTTGAAGTAACCCAGGAGAAAATATGCCATGAAATCTGTTTTCCATTATTGCATGAGATGGTATGTCTGAAGATTTGATCAAGCCCATTTTTTTTAATATGATGAAGACAATGCAGCTCAAAGAGATGTGGAGATCTGGGGTCATTTTCAATGTGGTATTTGTAAATTATTGCAGACTTGACATTCTTATTCATTTATTGATAAGATTTGCTTTTCCTATTGTGATCTCACAGCAAACAATTTCTGACTGAGTGGTATTTTTGAAATAAGTGGTAGTAAAAGCTCATTATTGATACATTTGTTTCTTATTCAGACCAAATCTGTTGTATAACAACACAGTGCAGTGGGAGAGACCTGATGGCCTCTCTTGCCTTGTATTTAAGAAGAAGTGAAGTCACTTATGTGACAGTCCCATGTTCATATTCCCCCGTGGGTTTTGTGATATTCTCCAGCAAAAGCAAGACCAAACAGGACAAGGACACTCCATTCCTGTTGCTTTAAAGGAATATATTTCCTGCTTGAGTGGCTTCTGAGCTCGATAGCTGTGAGCAACAACACCCAGAGTTCAGTGTGGGGAATAACTACACACATCAACGAGCCAGAGGGGCCAGAGGAGTTTATTGCCAGGGCTGTCGGTTTTCCCCTTTAGGAGCAGATGTGCTCCCCTTGCTGCTTTTGCATTCCTATTCCCACACCATCAGTCAGTCCCTGCACCTCTGTAGTTTTTATCCACTTCATATCTTTCCTGAGGGATGTCCCTACTCCCTCCTCAGAGGGAATTGCTTCGGAGGCTTCACCCATCCCCACAGGGATCAAATCAGAGGCTGACGTATCTCACGAAGCCACGAGTCAACCGAGGTCCACCTCAGATTGTGGATGTAATTTAGGGTCAAAAGGAAGCCTGTTTCTTGTTTTCTCCCTTGGTAACACAGGGGATTCACCCTCAGAGAATTTATGAACGTGTCAATTGGTCAAATAAGAGTGTTCTGGATATTTGCAGGAATAATTTACTACCTGGCAGGGCTCGTTTGTTTACATCCTCTGTAGGGATCCCGTGGGACAGACTTAATCCTGGGCTTGGATATTTGATTGAGGACAGCTCTTGGGGTATCTGCTGGGATGTTTGTAGTCCATAGACAGTCAGCTGTGGGATGTTTTAAGGTAAAATAAATATATATGAGCTTTTCCACCCCATCAGTGAGGTTCTGTGTAACTCCCAAACTGTTCAGCTCGTGGCTCAGTGCAAACACTTCTGATGTGGCTGAAAACAAGCCCCAGTCTGCTCAAATTGATTTTAAAGGCAACAGAAAACCCAAGAGGTCGTGCAAGTGCCTTGTTTGATCAGAGCCAGCACAGGGGAAGGCACGGCACAAGGCTGGCAGGGAAAGAGGGGAAGCTGGAGGCTGAGAGTTGATGGATTCATCA